AGTGCTCAGCGTGGGGTCAGCACCCACACCAGTACACAACTCACCGGTCACGCAGGCGAACGAAGGAAAGCCCTGCAGCACAGAGTCGAGTTTAAGAGTCCAGTGTGAGAAGCAAGGGCTGCCAGCCGCATGTGTCTGAGCAGGAGCATCTGCTGCTAGCGCTTTCAAAGCTGCCTTTCACAGGTCCCTGGCAGAGCACCACAAACGGCTTCCACATGGAGGCCGGATCACTCCGCTGTATATCTTACCTGCCTTTCGTGTCATCGTAGACTTCTTTAGAAGTTAAAGTTCACTTCAAAGCCACGGCAAACTCAGAGCTTTTCCAGGTGCAGTGATGCATCTCAGAGGCCTGAGAGTGAGGGATAATGTGTGCCTTAGAGCGCTCTCCCCGCCACCTGTCCCTCGCCCAGAGGGAGTCCAAGGGACCCTTCTCGCTTGCTCCTGTCTGTCCTCTGTTCTCCTGAATTCCAGCCCGGCTGAACGGAGTCCATATTTCTTGAGCACTTTACACACAAGCCTGGGGCAACAGAATGGGCGCGGAGTGGTGGGCTGTGGCCCAGACACACAGGTCTGATGTGCAGGCAGGCAGACGGTGAGGGACTGCCACACGCACTCCGCCCCTGTGCCCTGCAGCCGCAGCCACCCTGTCAGAGACGGCTGGAGCTGGCATCACAGCAGGCACTGGATTTCAACTTGGTTTTGCAGTATTTTCGTCAACAAGGCAGGAAGAACATTTTGGGGCAGAGAAAACAAAATGAATAAAATCGTGGAGTCTGAAAGGATTGTGAAGTCCTGCAGAGGCCTAGTTTATAGGCAGCGAGGTTTCGAGGTCTCTAAATCTGGCCAAAGCCAGGAACGCACTTCAATTAGAAGGTGACTGACCACCGTTTACACTAACAAAACTGGTACCAGCTTTGCTTAGCCAATTACAGGCTCACAAAGCATTTGTTTTGTTGCAAGTTCCTATGGTAAGCACTGTGAGGAATTTTCCCACTAAAATCTTACCCTGCATATGTTAGCAAACCCTGAACTCTCTTACAATTCTACTGTACAAATAGAACTTTGTAAGTGAAGTGGCTACTTTCTTGCTGTTGTCAATCATTTTTTTTTTCTTAAAGTTGCTTGGTAGAGAAAAGGCAGCTTGTAGAAGCATTAGAACATTCGTAGCCCCGAGGCTGATTATACAAACCCCGTGCTGACACCTGCTGCAGGAGAGGAGAGGGAAGCGTAGGTGCCCTGCAAGCCATCCTGCACACCATGCGAGGCACCTGGCTGCTCCCAGAGTTCCTCCCCCCACGTGCCTTCCGGGGATGATATGGGGGCACAGTCCCAGGGCCGCAGAGTGACTGTGCTACATGCAGGTGGCTTTTTGTTTAGCTTTCTTTTACCCAGTAAAAACGGCTCATTCACTCTTCTTTGCCCATCAGTATAAACAATAACTTCACCCCTCCAAGGTGCAGCATCCTTCAAATTGCTGCCTTCACCCACCACCCACGCTGAGCCCGGAGAACATCACCGCGTAGGCTGGCAGCCCGCACTGCTAGCTGTTGGCAGGGTGACTGTCACCTGGGGTAGGCCATGTCCCCTCCCCGAGTCCAACTTTCTTCTACTGGAAAGCAAGAAAGGTAGTAGAACTTGTGGCCTGGGGACTCGGGGACGTTTGATGTGCAGGGGCTGGTGATGGATGCGGGGTGGATGCCCTGTGAGGTGTGTGTCTGCGTCCCACAGCAAATCAGCAGGACAGCACCTGGACCCCTGGGACTGGCTTCCTCTACCTTCTCTGCATCAGAAGACTCCGACTCATAGGCTTGGGTCCCCTGAACTCCAAAAGGGCAGCCTTGTGTGCAGGACGAGCTCCTTCTCAGTACCAAGTTTTCCCTGGACGCTTATCTAAGGCAGCCTCTCCTATTGAGGAGGCCTCAAGCTGAGGGATGCAGATGACTTCTGGAAGCTAGAAAAATATAGGCAGCAGATTTTCCTGAGACCCTCCAGAAGAAAGCTCTGTTGAGACCTGACCTTAGCCAGCGAGGCTGATTTTGGACTTCTGACTTCCAGAAAGCAAGAATGAAGATGTCGTGTTGTAAGCAACCAAGTGTGTGTTCCTCTGTTACCACATTCATAGGAAACTAACACAGTATGATCAGAAAAAGAATCCGACAGGGAAGCTCGTCTGCAAAGATGTAACAAGCAATGGCTTCCTGCTCAGCGAGGACGGGTCTCTTTAACCAAAGGGATTGCACCGTTCGCTTCCGCCCTCTTCAGACACTGGCCACATACCTGCTCTGGCCCCTCTTCCTTCCCCTTTGCAGTGCGGACATCAGCGTTCATGCTCCCACGTCAATCCTGGATGACCTGCAGCCACCCTCAGGGCAGCCCCATGGGAAAATGAGCTCTGATCCCAGAGCCCTCAGCTCTGACCCACTCGGGATCAGAACGTGTCAAGTAAGGCCTTGGAAGACCAACAGACAGTACACAAACCCCAGCTAAGAAGGCTGTGTACATTAGGTAATTTCTATAAATTCTATAGTAAAAACTAATTTGCTTCATTTTTAAGAAATGAAGTCCTTACCGTTAAACATCTTCACAAACATGCTCATTACTTTTGTTCGGTATTTGAAAATGGCCTCTTCAGAGACAGGCCTGCTGCTCGCAGCTGTGATCCCAGCACTCTGGGAGGCTGAGGCAAGAGGACTGCAAATTCACGTCCAACCTGGGCAACACAGAAAGACCCCGTCTCAAAATAACAAGTGGGAAGAGGGCTGCTCTTCCTTGTATATTTTCTTAAGAAGCTACTAGAAGAACTCTAAACCAAAGAGAGGGATATACAATACCCAGCAGACCAGGGGCTAAGTTAGGAGACAGATGAAGGAAATCTCCAGATGACGGTGAGGACAAATCCTAGGATGTGCACTAGGCATCTGCCTTGGAGCATAAACAATCTGGACTGGACAGGAAGACAAGCCAGGGGCTCCGAGGGGAGCAAGTCCTATAGAAAGGAGAGCCCCAAGATCATCTGAGGTGTCTGTTCATATTGAAAAGTGTTTTATAGCCAGTGAAAGAAGCTGGGGAAGAATTAGAGGTACCTAAGAGGATAAGGGCATAAAACAAAGAAGGTACTACTGACTCCAGCTTGTACAGAAAGGCAGTAGGACAGTGTGTCTCATTAAATAATGTTTACGTGATTACATAACTCCAAGTGCTGAATACGGATTTCGTTACCAATGGTCCTGTAACCCTAAAGCAGAACAGGGAGAGGAGGGGTATTCATGGGTTTAAGGCAGGCAGGAAGGGTGACATGGGAGAGCTGTACCTTCCGCAGAGAGAGATCTTCCTTCTTCCCCGGGACCAAGTCACAAACAATGCCCAAAACTAAACATAGGGAAAAGCCACCATGAGCATGTCATTTAGCAGAATGGAAATCAGTGTCCCAGAAAACCACAGGAAGAAGTGCAGAGAGCTTTTCTGGAGAATAAAGACCAGGTGGACAGGAGTGGCGGGTCTCATGTTGCTCAAGTCCAGAGCCGCTGCACGCTAGGCGAAATTCTACCCCCGAGCTAGTAAGAGACTTACGGTGTCTTTTGACTTTGCATTTCAGACAGTAGGACAGTGTGCTTACATCCCGGCCCAGAGCCAAGCTGGCTGATCTGGGTTTCAGCTCCAGTACCTGTGGCCGTATGAGCTGGGGACGGTGTGTGATCTCTCCATGCCGTGACTTCCCTCCCGGACTGGAATAATAACACTGCACATGGATCGTTGTGTGGTTTGAATCAGTTAATAAACACAAGCACTTGGAAGGGCGGTGGTTGGTCTTTAGTAGCTGTGTGTTTCTATTGTTATTGTGAAACTACATAATACGTTACTTAAAAATTTAGAACAGATAAAGCTCCCGGGGTGAGCGCGTCACGTTTTGAAATTCACTCCTGAAGATGCCCTGTCTCCTGTATATAAAGCAGCAGTCAGTATTTCGTCTTCTCGCTTCAGTTTTGCCCTGACTGTGCCCATCCTGTTCATTCCCCGCTACAGAAGCAGTCTGTGAACCCGGACCCACAGAGAGAATGCCAGGCTCTGCCCCTCGTCCAGTGCTGCCAGTTCCCGAGGAGCTGGCTGTCTGCCCCGTGGCCGCACATGGACAGGACACCACAGCACCCATCCTAGCTCCCCAAGCCTGTCTCCAGGCATGAGTGTCAGCGGGCAGCAGATCACACACAGCCCTGGGTCGGTCAGTCCGCTTAGAAAGCTTGCTGTCCTGCCGAGGTCCAGACCAGGCTGGCCTGTCAGCAGTGGATTACAGGAGCATGCGGACTCCACAGGAAGCAGCTCTCCACTAGGTTATAAAAGGCAAAAAGGTCCCTCCTGCCCCTCCTCCTCCTTGTGTAGACCAGGGTTCCCTGGTGTCACCACACAGCAGACAGGCGGGGGCTGCTGTTCCCAGTGGCTGTCTGCTGGTCTCACCTCAGCGCCCACATGACTGCCACCCAGCAAAGCACACTGGTGCTACCAGGTGCTGTCACTGCCACCGGGACAAACCCAGGTTCCTTGCAGCCCCAAGTTCTGCTTGCTCTGAAAAGATGTCCAGCTCTTCAGATCCAAGTCAGCGCCAGGATCAGTTCCCTCATCCCCCACCCTGGGAGGCAGGACAGAGGAAGCCAGGAACACCCTGAAGAGAGCTTGAACCTGAACCCATTCCCCTGAGCCCCGCACCCTGCCCTGCCTGCTGTATTCTGTCACCTCAGATGTCTCTGTTGTCACCTCCTGGTCACAGACGCTTCGACATGAAAACCCCACTCAGAAGTCCACAGACAGATTCTCTCATTGTTTCACAGCAAGAGAATCCTTTTTAAGGCATCGCAACTGGATTATCAAGAAATTCCCAACCAAGAGCACCAAGAAATTCCCAACCAAGAGCACAACTCCGAGCCTGACCAACTGTCCCCTCACGGACACAGCCACAGTCAGATGGCAGAGCACAGAGCAGGTTCACACGCAAGCCAGAGACTCACCCCGGCACCGCACAGGACTGCAGTCTTGCAGGCAGGGAGCTGCTTCTGCTCCAGGGATGGAGACCAGGCGCCAACCGCTCTCCCTTCCCGCCCCCACCCTGCCCACGCCCTGCAAAGGCCGGTCTCCACCAAGCTGTTTGGCAACCCCCAGAAAGACAGCTGAAGGTGCAGGAGTGGACTGGGAACAGCGATTGCTCTGGCAATCATCCCCTTCCCTGGAGCCCAGACTTCAGTGGGCGGGCAATGTGGCATTTCCCTTCCCATTTCAACTACTTCTCCAGCAAATCGCCTGAGAAAAATAAGAGCCTGTGCCAGCACAGGAGCAGCCAGTGCCTGCCCGCCTGCCCAGTGCGGAGAGGCCTCAGTGACCTGGCCAGCTCCCTGTCCTACCATCTAAGCTCCGCCCACATCTTCCCTGTAGGACAGTGGAGAAGGCTCCTCTTCCTGGGCTGCTCTCTTCCCTCGGAGCTGAGGGAAGCAGATGGGCCTCCAATCCTGCAGAAGGCAGCCTGGGAAGTTTGCTGATGAAAGAGCCGTGGCACTTCTAAGCCACGTGTTAGAAGTTAATGTGATTTGCTGTGATTCCTGTGTGAGTGCTGGTGACTGGGTACCTGGAACAGAAGAGAGCCTCCATACGCAGTCTCCTCGTTCTCTGTATTCCCCTGACTTTCTGGCCTTACCTCTTTACCATTCCTCCACCTCCCCGACAAATCATATAAAACTGATATAGGAACGTGCATCCTTCATGGACCCTTGAAGCCGTGGCATGAAGTCCCATGCGGTGGCCCGAGATGGTGCTGCCTCTGCCTCCACCTCATGCTGGCTGTCAAATGTCCCTCCGCAACAGATTTGCTGAATTCTTAAGATATCACAACACGCGCTTTAGAACCTGCATCTCGGACTAGATCATCAGCTCTTGGCTGAAGACAACCTTCCTCTTGGCGTCCTTGCACCGGCACCTTGTGAGCAGAAGCACTCAGGAAACATGCACCGAGCCTCTGTCCTTAACAGCAGATGTGACACAGTTAGTTGTGAAGAGTGGCTTGGTCAGAGGGAAGAAATCAAAAGCTCACTTCCTGCAGAGTAGAGCATCTGTGCTTTGTCCTCACACACACACCTGACAGCCAATGATGGCAAAGTGGGACTTGGTCACTATAGCCCACTGTGCTCTGAGGGCACTAGAGCACTCTCCTGCCGTGAGTCTCCCTTTGGCCCAGGGCATTGGTGCTTCCCGTCCAGTTACCTACCCTGCCTCGGGACCCTGGAAGGTGAGTGGGTCCCATCCTGTTTGCATCTCCAAGTGCTGGTCCCCAAGACCGGGAGGTGCTGGCTTTAGAGATGTCGGCCAAGGCAAGGCTCACTTGCGTTTCCAGCTGCATGGCTCCACTGGCCCCAGATAGCACAGGATCTGGATGCTTCTACACCTGTCACGCTGACTGTGAAAACTCATCCTCAATATTGTGCAATCCAAATAGCTCCAGAGTGCAAGCACGAAATCAGACGGGAGATGTGAGAAGGATCACCACCTTGCTTTCTTATCCTCATTTTGCATCCTGTGGCCTGGACCCTTCACTTTACAATAGATGATAGATAGATAGATAGATAGATAGATAGATAGATAGATAGATAGAACCGTGCACACAGAGCAGCCTCGGTGAAGGTTTCCTAAAATTATCAGGAGTCATCTTCTAGCATGCAATGAGTTTTAGCCAAGACAACAACTATTTTGGTTGTTTCCTAGGAAATCTGCTTCTATGAAAGGGCCACCAAACACATCCAGCAGACACAGGCCAGCAGGTTCGAGAATGGCTACAACATAAAAAGACAGGCCCGGTTTGCATTACCGGGCTCCAATTCCTCAGTGGCGTTCTGGTCACACTCAGGATACAAACCATCTGGAGCCTCTCTCTGGCACCGCGTTATTTACTGGCACTCCCAGGCGGAATTAGACTCCATAACTCACTCTCCGCTGCTCCTCTTCCCGGCAGACAGCTGCATCCCTCATCTCCGCGGTGCTCCTCACCATCCATCAGCCATTCCCAACCGGGAATCACTTGCCAAAGTGGATGCTTTTCTTTGGGGATAACCACTCTGCATTAATGCCGGGGATTAGCCCACTGTTTAGGCGCATATTTTGTATTTTCTTCTCTTAACGTTCCCTGTGTCAAGCTCATAAGGAGTCTACCTATGTGGTGCTACTTTGGTTCACAAATGCTTTTGTTTGTAAACAATTTCGTCCTGAAATCAAAGCATTCGGCAAAATTTTGTTTCGGCTTACAAACTCTGCACCAGTGACACAATGGCCCGGGCCACTTTCCTGCACACACATAAGTGTGGTCATCTTTTCATGGAGCAAATCAAGTTTGTGAAGTGAGGCACCACCGCACTTTCTTAGTCTCCCCTTCTTCCTTCATATAGTTTTATAATAACAACGAACCATGGGTGCCCCCCCCATTTTGGCTCTCGGAGAAGTCACTGCCAAATAAAGAAACCAAAAACACAAAGCTCTTTTGTTAAATTTTATTTAAAGAAAGACAAAACAAAGCAGAAAACGGATAGAAACAATACATACTTTCAAAGAAAAAAAAACAGTAATAAATCACTAGTTGATGTTTACATATTGTCCTCTTACAAATAGTTGTTCAAGATACAAAAATGGAACATATAAATGGGAATTCAAACAGCAAGACTGCAAATAGTTCTGTTCAACTATCTAAAAAAATTTAGTAATATGGTTATCAATCCTATACTCTTAAATATACATGCAGTTATCCATATATTCATTTATGTTGAGATTAAACAAACCCAAGCAGACTAAAATCACTCTGAACAAAGAATAATAGTATTGCTGGATTTCACATCATGACACTCCGGGATCAGCACTGGGTACTGTAGTGTCTTTTTCCCCTTCAAAGTATTTGTTCATTTCATCGTGTGTCATAAGATCAGTTCTCATAAACTGTTGATAGGTTTTACACAAGCTCTTACCAACTCCAAGTTCTCAATGACAAACGGCAATGGTCAATCAGTTAAAGCGAGCACGCACTGCCGATCTCTCTGCTGAGGTGTGAGGAGGCTCGAGAGACATCGTGAATGGTGCCAGGCCACAGTGATGTAGGGACCTCGAGATGTGCGTGAATCTACAGAAGGGAGGAGGAGCAGTGCGTGTGTGAGCACTGGAGAGTTACAAGGGGCCTGCTGCAGCCAAAGAAGGGGGCCAAGGCAGTGGGGATGAAGCTGAAGAGGTTCCCGGAGTCAGGTGATGGGAGCCTGCCAGTACTTGTAGATAAGTCCAAACGTGTCCTTTTAAAGGAACCGGAAGTCACTGAAGGTACAAAAAAGGAAGTCATGAGTTTCTTTTTATTTTAGTGGAAATGACCCAAGTATGACATGTGCATGGACAAATATGCCAACGTGAAACCCGTTATGTTGCACAAGTAATATGCACTAATTAAATAGAAACATCCTTATCAGAAATGCGAAGGGTGAACTGAAGGCCGCAGAAATAAAGGGAGCTGTAGCAATGGGCAGGCGACAGTGAGTGACAGCCAGAACAAGGCAGTAGAGAAGATCAGGAGAAGCGGATGGTGAGTTCACCACTGGTCACGGGGACAGGGGAACAGGTGGCTCCTCTAGACGTCCCAGTTCTCTTGCAGCTTGGACAGCAGCATGACAGACAATCAACTCACCATGCGGGGGGCAAAGGAGTTTACTAGGCAAAGAGAAGGAGGAAGATGGATTTAGTCCGGGAATATTTTGAGTGACTATTGGGGGACAGTCAAGAGAGTTTGCACCAGACACAGGAGTTTTCAAGAAAAAGATCTGAACGATGGTTTTAATGCCATCGATGTATACGGGGTGGAAACTCAGACCACGGGGGACAGAGCAAGGGCACCTGTGCTGCGTGTGCGTAGGAAGCAGGAGGGAAGAGCCCGTAATCCTTAAGCAAGGCAGGAGGAGCTCTAGGGAGAGAATGGTCCTTCGATCAGATTCACCGTAGAGAGTGACTCACCGCATCTGGGGCTGCAGCTGAGAATTAAGTGTCACCTCTTGTTTTATGTTTTAGATTTTTAAAATTAAATTTATTGATACAGTTTAGATATACGCAAATATCACATTCATCATACGGAGTTTGCACTGTAGGTGGTGTACGTCCATTCTTCTCTTTTCCCTGTTCCCCTCCCCTTCCTTCAGAGTCTCTTCCCTTCCTTATTTACGAGGCTTGTTTCCGTTGTATCTTTTTTTCATTCTTTTTCTTTTCCCTTGGGCCCCCACCCACTTCCTCTTTCCTTTTAAACAATTTGTTTCCTGTTACACAATATCTGTTGTACCTTTTGGTTCTTATTTACACTTTCAGATTCTCACACCAGAGAGACAATGCAATATTTACATGTGTATTTATGATTTAGGTTCAACCATTTAGCTAGAAATGTCTTAAGTTTATCCTTCTTTATGACCAACTAGTAGTCCATTATATTAAAAACTACATCTTTTTTATCCACTTATCAGTTGATGGGCATTTGGGTTGTTTCCAAAATTTAGCTGTTACAAATTGTGCTGCTGTAAACATGGGTGCACATATATCACTGTGGTATGATGTTGTCAGTTCTTCTGGGAATATGCCTAGAAGTGGAATCGCTGGGTCAAATGGAACCTGTAGTTTTAGCTTTTTGAGGAATGTCCACACTGATTTCCACAGTGGTTGTACCAGTCTGCGCTCCCACCAACAGAGGAGAAGGGTCATTCTTCCCCACAGGCCCTCTAGCATTTGCCACTGGGTGATTGCCACTTGATAATAGCAACCCTTTCTGGAGTGAGATGGATTCTTTTTTTTTTTTTTTTTTTTTTTTTTGTCTTTCTCCTTTTTATTGGTACCGGGGATTGAACTCACGACTGCCTGCTTGCAAGGCAGGCGCTTATGCCACTGAGCTAAATCCCCAGCCCCCTCTGGAGTGAGATGGAATCTCAGTGTGGTTTAATTTGTATCTCTCAAATGATCAGTGATATTGAACATTTTTTTGTATATTTGT